CCAATAATCAGCACTGTACCCTCTACGTCTGGGTGCTCTGATGGTTGGTGACAGGATCCCTACTCTCATAAGCATCGAATATCGGCGGCGGCTTGTCGAACGGCAAGGATTGTGCTGTTCCAGTGCATTCAAATTAGCTGCCAATGAACTGCATCAAACACGCTTTTATATGAACAGAATTTGAAGACATCATAGTGCGAACGGCCGCCTTATTCCCAAGCCCCGAAAATACAAAACACGAGAGTAACTAGAGAGGCGAGCAGCTGAACGAGCTCGTCAAGTCGTTGAAGTTGATTGTGCCCGCGTGTCCGGGGACGGTGAAAAAGTTCCACACCCCCTGCTGCAACACAACCTCGCTGTCGGTGGGGTTGTTCCCGGTGCCGGTAGAGATGCAACCGAAGTCCCTGAACGCCATGCCTCTATCAGTTCCCCCGTTGCTGAATATATTTGCCGGTGACACTCACTGGAAGAACGTGCAGATGAATCCACCAGGCACTTGCGCGCTGGAGATCTCCTTGTTCAAGAAGGTGAGCCCGCCGGTCAAGTTGACGCAACTGTCGGATACGACGGGGACGTTGACGCATCCGGACGGGGGACTGACCGCCCCGGTGCAGAGGTCCACGGTGACGCTCGCGTCCTGAACACCATTGGGTTAGAACGGCAAAATTCAAGCGGAATTTGCAACGTACAGCGCCCGGCTTTTGGACTGGGGTGGCCGAAGCGACCGAGAAGACAGCCACGAGGGTGAGGGAAAGAAGAGACTTCGAGTTGAACATTGGAGTAGTCAGTGTGAGTGAACTGGGGTTTCCAGAGTGAGCTGCCCATCCTTTATACAGACGAGCGCACGGTATTGGTAAGCCGGTGTGTTGAGAGATTCTGAAAGCGAATCTAGGATCTCAGTCAACATGGACAGGACGAATGAAAGAATTGAACTGAACAGCAAGACTGCCGCTTCCTGCTGCTTCGAAATAACGGAATATTAGTACTCCGCGCACATTGTCATCTTCCGCGCGACTTGTCTGAGACAGCGCCGGCTGTTTCGAACGCAAATGGCGTGAGGACCCCTGATAACAGCCTTCGAGGCTAGGTCCCGAAGAGCCGGGATCCGCCAATTTTTGTTCGGTCAGAATTTTGTCGCCTTCAGCCTTGCTTCAGCCATTTTGTGTCTGGACAGGGCCAAGCCTCTGATGAAAGAATCTCCCAAAAGGGGTGATTCTGGCTCCCACAGACCCAAAAACGTTCAAAATCTCTTGACACGTCGATTTTGGTGGCATTCTCGACAAATCCAGGTATTTGTGGTGTATCTGTGGTGGAATTAGTGTTGCCGATATTCTTTGGCCATGAAACTTTTTTTACTGGCCCCAAGTTCTCTGTCCGGACAGGACCTAGCTTTGGGGTGCTCAACCATCGACTTTTGTCCGGCCAGGACCTAGGTTTGAGGCCCAATCTCCAACAAATTGACCGGCACCGGACCTAGCCTACAAGGGGATTATCAGGGGTCCTATGGCGTGCCCCAACGTTAAATTAGCATGGACTGATGAATGTTTGCGGGCGACAACTCTCACGTTCTCAGGAAGCCTAAACAAGTGCCTCTTACATTATTAGGATCTCAATCAACATGGAAAGGACGAATGAAAGAATTGAATTGAGGCAAGGTTGCCGCTCACTGCTGCTTCGAGGTAGCGTAATATTAGTGCCTCATTCAGCCGCCGATGTCAGGACCCAATGTCAAATATCGCAATGAATAATCGAACGGCGCGCATTGTCATCTTCCGTGTGACCTGTCTGAGACAACGCCGGCCAACACGAGGACCTTTTGTTGAACATGATCCACACCATAATGGGGAGGGTAATAGACACATCTGGAAACCGAATTTCAGTCCTGTTGAAGGCGCCGTCAGACACGGATTCCGTCGAACAAAATATACCACAGTGAGCTCGGATATTGTTTTGAACGCAAATCACTGCGTTCCGCCCGTCGGCACAGCCTGCTGAACGCTCTGGCGACTTCCTCAGCCGGGCATCTGCCGCTGCGCAGTTGACGTGGTGATATTTAAATTTAGACTTGATGCCGTGAACCTCTCACGTTGCTCTCACGCGCCAAAATGTCTACATAAGATCAGCCAGAGCCGTCTTCAGAACACTGGGTCATCAAAACTGATGGCAGTGATGTTGCACGGCGTCTGAGCAACATCCGAGGCTCATCCAGGTCTTAAAATACAGGTGAAATAATCGGCAATAATCATGTTGGTTCATAGTTTAATACTGTAATTAGGTAAAGGCCGGCCGACTCAGCCTACCTCCAGGTCTGCCGACGTCTGCCGAGGTCGCTCGGCAGAAGCTGTGCCGACAGACCTGCGGAACGCAGTGAATGGCGCCCGTCAACGTTGGCATAAACTGATGAATGTTCGCGAGTGACAAGTCTGACGTTTCCAGGAAGCCTAAACGGGTCAACTTCAACAGCTTCCATCCTTCAAGTTCCATGAAACTGAGACCCCCTGCCATTCCGCGGATTTACACGGCAATTCCGCCTGGTCTTGCACCACAATTGATTGCCAGAAGTTTCGCGGAGAGCTCAAGCTCCGTCCATTCAAGGTCCGTTCAATGGCGTTAAACACCTATATTGAACTACCATTCCGATGACCTTGCCAACTGAATACATTGTCCATTATTGACTGTTACAGGACATGCGCGCATGCTGCACCTTGATGAATGAAGGCTCAATGCGCGACCCACGACTTCGGCTGAGATTTCTGGACTCTTGCCAGCGACTTGGCTCAAGCGCTAGGTTTGAAATACGGTACGGATCCAGAGTCGCCTCCACCTGGCATTTGCATTGACTACCGTGAGCGTGCTGTTTTTCGGCCGGTGCACCGTGCCGAGTAGTTTCATCACCATCCTTTCCTGCCGCTTCCAATACGACCGTGGGAACGAGGGGATCTTCGAGATATGTATAAATGCTGTCGAGGGCACGTACGGGTGCGGTTGCGGCAGGCGTCAGCCACGGCGACGATCCCTGTACCCCGTGTGAGCGTTTATGGAATGTGAGGGAATAGACCGCACCGCAGGCGGGACACTTGATGCAGGTGAAGCGGTCGCGGCCAAAGATTTGACTTTGTAAGATGTCTCCAAGCGACGAATGACAAGCTGGCGGACCTACTCAACAGCAGCTGCACTCCACCTTCGATCCTTGAGCCATTGCAGCTTTTTGTCAGGGCACATAGCTAAGAGAATGATCAGCAAAACTCGATAATTTCGTGCAGTATATGTCCTTACCGATCGAAATTCTATATACTTCACAATCGTCCGTCGGAGAGTGATACTTTTGAAGCACAAGGAGTGCGGTGTGGGCTGCGACCCGGATCACAGGTGACGGTGTTGGAGCGTTTTCGATTCGCTTCAATGCATCCTTTAGGTCTTCAAACATGGGAATGATAGCGCGTGCCAGCGGAGTTTCTTTTTTGGAGAATAGCTTGGTCGGGCCATCAAAAATCTGAAGCTATGTCAGAACAAAAATCTGGCTGCACAGCGTGAGGATACTCATACAGCAAGGACATCGAGTACTTCTTGAGCAAGTAGCCACTGCAGGTCAGTCAGCTTGAAGCTCCCCAATTTGTTTACAGTTGACACTGTTAGTGCCTCAACAGGGTTGAAGAAGTGCATGTGGGATTCAAGACAATCATATTCAGAGTTCCAACGGGTCGGTATTTGTCTTGTCAACCCCTTGCGCTCCCCAAGAAGTGTGTTGTCTGCAGCGACAAGAGTTTCGAACTTGGTACCCAGCGTGACACTGTCGTGTACACGGCGTGCGAGTCCGGCGACCTGGAATATCTTTCCCACAAGTGTTGTACATGCGGATATAAAGCCAAAGCACACCTTTGGATATATTCCCAAAGCCATCTTGTTTGCCGCTTCCGTAATCCTCACTCCCCGCCGACCCATACCTGCCATGGCACGATCCCGAGTTGATCTGATGACGGCGTCGTCGTGTGCTTGTTCCCCGTTGTCCATCGGTACTTCCTTTTCGATTTCGACAAGGGTTCGCGCGAGCTCCCGCTCTTCCGGCGACAAACCCTCGTCCTCATCGAGCACGAGCTCCTCTTCTATCGGAACAATGGGAGGCCCCGTTTCCGCCCCGGGCTGAACTCGTTTTATGGTCCTGAGACGCATGTTTGCATTTGAATATGTACATGAGACTTTTGCGGCCCCAAGTCGTAGAACGTGTAATGGATACATTATAGTGGGAATAGACAGGAGGTTTCCAGTTTTTAAGAGCGGCATCTTGAGTCGCCACATCAACAGATGAATTACGAGCAGAAGATAGGGACGCACCGACAATCTCTGAATTGCTTGAACTCCCAAGCCCCCTCGTCGGATTTGCCATAGGGATTACCCTTCAAATTTATTCTGCGGTTTTCACAGGTGGCACCACGAATGCTGCATGCACATTCTCATTAGAAGAGCCTGCTCGAGCCTCGAGGCTGAATGGGAGAGCTGTCCGGTGGAGTGACACGAGAAGAATGTACAAGATTAAGAGAATGGGGAAGAGTGTATTGGAAATTAGGGTATAGCAAGATAGGGGAGGGTATCGAGGGCCCGACGACGCATCCTGGGCGTCGGATGGGTTCGAGAGAGCAGAGGCAAGCCTAAGCAAGCGCCGCCAAACAAGATCCGCAGATAACCCGAACCCGTGCCGATCCGTGGGAATTATCCGTATCCGTATCTGCATCCGTGCTAAGTCACAGTGTCATCCGGATAAGGCCGATCCGTGCCGGTCCCTAGTCCGACTCTGATATTCCAGTTCACGAGGAATCTAAGGACTCGGGCGTGGTGTACGGCGCACGCCCTCTCTCCTTAACGCTCTGTGAAGATTTAATGAAAGGAGAGGACCGAGCGGGTTCGATTCCTGGCGCCCGAATTTGCCATCATCGTCAATTCTTTTCTTGCACTGGCGTCGAAATAAATCGGTGGCAAACCCAGGACGGAGGAGAGGGAGGTGGTCGGGCGTGGTGTATGGCGCGCGCTCCTCCTTCTCACGGCTGTAGGCCATAACTTTTAAAGGGAGAGGACCAGGTTCAACTCCTGGCGCCCGAAATTGCCATCCGGCTCCAACTCTTTTCTTGCATTGGCATCGAAATAATCGAGGATTTATATAGGACACGGAGGGAGAGGTGAGTACTCGGGTGTGGTGTACGGCGTACGCTCCCTCTCCTTGGCGGAAACCCAGGCCATGTCAAGGGAGAGGACCGGGTTCGATTCCTGGTGCCCGAACTCGCCGTTCATATCGCCTTTTTTGCACTGGCGTCGCAAGAATGGAGTGTTTATTCGGCCTCGAACGAGAAGTAGGTACTCGGGCGTGGTTTACGATGCACGCCACCTCGCCTTACAGTGAATTGGAACATATAAGGGAGAGGACCGGTTCAGACTCCCGGCGCCCGAACTACCACGGTCCAGCCGTCCAGTTTTTGTGCACGGAAATCGGGGGATATTCAGCCTCGAGAGAGGTATGTATTCGGGCGCGGTTCACGGTGCACACTCCCCCTCCTTTCCGCCCGAGGTGATGCAGGCGATGTGCACGCCGATGCACCAGATCCTCCCGCCGACCCCGCTCCCGCCCGCCCCGCCCCTCCACGCCTACCCCTCCTCCGCCTCCTCCTACGCGCCCTACCCCTCGTCCCCCACCTCCTATGCCTCTTCCCCACTCCCACCACGCCCACGCCCAGCAGCAGCGACTCGATACAGCACTCAACATGCTCGGTTGGCTGGCCGTGCTACCCCCGGTTGCAGAGCTGCGCTTCACTTTTCATAGAAGTTATCGGCGTTCAACGTCGCCGGAAGCAGCGGACAGCGAGCAGAAGGAATGTATGGAGCAGGCCGGCGCGGTGCTGGCGCATGTGCCTGTGCTTTGTGGGAGGGTGTTTTGATTATGTCGGTCTCGTCTTTGTACAATCTCACTATCCGATAAACTGAAACTCTCCTTTCAGTGTATAACAATACGCTAGCTGTGATACTGCATCATGGGTATTTCAGGCTCAGATTAACTACGCAAGCAGTTGAAGGAGCTCGTCAAATCGTTGAAGTTCACCACGCCGTCCTTCACGGGAATATTCAAGAAATCCCATGCGCCCTCCCGCAAAACAACCTTGCCGTCGTTGGGATAATCTCCAGTTTCAGATGCGCACCCGAAGTCCCTGTAGCCCAAATATCTTTCAGTTCCCTCAGCGCTGATTCATTCCACAGAAAAAACCGACCGGAAGAACGTGCAGACGATTCCACTGGGCACTTCCGCGCTGGAGATCTCCTTGTTCAAAAATGTGAACCCGCCGATCAGGTTGACGCAGTCGTCGGATAGCGCGGGGATGATCGCACATCCAGCGGGGGGATTCAGTGCCCCGGTGCAGACCTCCACAGTCACGTTTAGGTCCTGATTCGTATGAGGTTAGTCCGACTCGGAATAAAAACTTTGTGGCAACGCGCCTGGGCGGTGGCCGTCGATATGGCGGGGAGCAAAACCAGGAGGGTGATAGTGGGAAAGAACTTGGAGTCGAACATTGGAATGGAATCAATGTGAGTGAGCCGACGGCGGATTCCTTTTATAGAGTTAGACGCATGGAAATCGAGACTCTTTGACTCAATGATCGAATGGATAGATGGAACCAGAACTTCGGTAAAAGAGTGCCGCTCGGCAAACCCCCCAATCCTTTCCGGCAGTGCAGAAAGTATGACTCGCGGCGGTCTGGTTATTATCGTCCGCTTATTTCTTACAATTCTGACAGGCGGGACGAATAGAAGGAACAGAAGAGCAACTTTGACAGATTGCTGCTCGGAGAAGGTCGCTGCCGAAGCTCTAATTATTTCCTGCAATTCTGGCCGCGGTAATCTGTGGCAGCCTGGAACTTTACACCTCTGATTCTCTGGTCACTTGGGGAATGTCAATTGAACACTCTATGCAATGATGACAAACGTCCCATAGGCGCACCACCCGAATAACAGCACGCCCACGGTAGTCAATGCAAATGCCAGGTGGAGGCGACTCTGGATTCCGATAGGCGGCTAGATCCGTACCGTATTTCAAACCCAGCGCCTGAGCCAAGTCGCTGGCAAGAGTCCAGAAATCTCAGCAAAGTCATGGGTCCCGCATTGAGCCTTCATTCATCATGGTGCAGCATGCGCGCATGTCTTGTAACAGTTAATAAAGGACAATGTATTCAGTTTGCGAGGTCATCGGAACGGTAGTTCAATACAGATGTTTAACTCCGTGGAACGGACCTTGAATGAACGGATCCGGAGCTTGAACTCTCCGCGAAACTTCTGAAAATCAACCGTGGTGCAAGACTAGGCGGAATTGCCGTGCAAATCCGCGGAATGGCAGGGGATCTCAGCTTCATGGAACTTGAAGGATGGAAGCTGTTGAAGTTGACTCGTTTAGGCTTCCTGGGAACGTCAGAATTGTCACTCGCGAACATTCATCAGTTTATGCCAACGTTGGCGGGCGCCATTCGCTGTGTTCCGCAGGTCTGTCGGCACAGCTTCTGCCGAGCGACCTCGGCAGACGTCGGCAGACCTGGAGGTAGGCAGAGTCGCCCGACCTTCGTCTCTTTCCGGTCTGTACCTAATTACAGTATTAAACTATGAACCAACATGATTATTGCCGATTATTTCACCTGTATTTTAAGACCTGGATGAGCCTCGGATGTTGCTCATACGCCGTGCAACATCACTGCCATCAATTCTGATAGCCAGTGTTCTGAACACGGCTCCGGCTGATCCTATATAACATTTTGGCGCGTGAGAGCAACGTGAGAGGTTCACGGCATCAAGTCTAAATTTATATATCACCACGTCAACTGCGCAGCGGCAGATGCCCGGCTGAGTCTGTGCAAGCTCTGAAGGCACGGAAAGGGGGAAGAGCCCTGAGGTAAGCAGACCCTGTTGAACCGACGTCGATGGAAGTCGCCACACTGTGCCGACGGGCCCCCGGAACGCAGTGATTTGGCCTCAAAACAATATCCGAGGTGACTGGTATATTTCGTTGGACGGAATCCGTGTCTGACAGTAGCCTTCAACACGACTGAAATTCGGTTTCCAGATGGGTCTATTACCCTCCTCATTATGGTGTGGATCATATTCAACACAAGGTCTTCGTGATTCGCTGTCCTCCGTGCTGGCCGGCGCTGTCTCAGACAAGTCGCGCGGAAGATGACAATGCGCGCCGGGAGTACTAATATTCCGTTACCTCGAAGCAGCGGTAAGCGGCAGTCTTGCTGTTCCAGTTCAATTCTTTCATTCGTCCTGTCCATGTTGACTGAGATCCTAATCTCGCTTTCAGAGTCTCTCGACGCACCGGCTTACCAATACCGTGCGCCCGTTTGTATAAGGATGGGCAGCTCACTCTGGAAACCCCAGTTCACTCACACTGACTACTCCAATGTTCAACTCGAAGTCTCTTCTCTCCCTCACCCTCGTGGCTGTCTTCTCGGTCGTTTCGGCCACCCCAGTCCAAAAGCCGGGCGCTGTGAGTTACAAATTCCGCTTGAATTCATCGTTCTAAACCAATGGTATTCAGGACGCGAGCGTCACCGTGGACCTCTGCACCGGGGCGGTCAGTCCCCCATCCGGATGTGTCAACGTCCCCGTCGTATCCGACAGTTGCGTCAACTTGACCGGCGGGCTCACCTTCTTGAACAAGGAGATCTCCAGCGCGCAAGTGCCTGGTGGATTCATCTGCACGTTCTTCCAGTGAGTGTCGGCGGCAGATATATTCAGCAACGGGGGAACTGATAGAGGCATGGCGTGCAGGGACTTCGGTTGCATCTCTTCCGGCACCGGGAACAACCCCACCGACAGCGAGGTTGTGTTGCAGCAGGGGGTGTGGAACTTTTTCACCGTCCCCGGACACGCGGGCACAATCAACTTCAACGACTTGACGAGCTCGTTCAGCTGCTCGCCTCTCTAGTTAATCTGGTGTTTTCAGATAATTTATTAGCTCATCTTAAGTTCGATGTGCTTGGAACCGACATGCGGACTTAAGATCCATCGAACTTAAGTCTTTCTGATGTACGGTAGGGCCGTTCAATACAGAGTATATCAGTACTTTTTTGGCACTTGAGTTCCGAGTCTATGGGGTCTCAAGACCTGCTAATCGAGACTCACGTGAACGGTAACCAAACTGAAGAGTATGCATATGATTGAAGATGGCAATGGAATATGTAACAAATGTATTACTCAAGAACTCAAGTTAAGCCCAACTCAAGTCCCGTTGCCGCACTTGAGTTCGTTACTGGACTTGAGTTCGTTACTGGACTTGAGTTCGTTCCTGGACTTGAGATCGTTTCTGGACTTAGGTTCGTTTCAGGACTTGAGTTTCGGCGCAAGCTTAAGTTCTACGAGGGCTGTCTTCAGTTCCGTGGCCTGGATTGAAAGGGTAAATCTCGTACCTGCGTGTAGACCCGCGCGCGGCTTTGACAGGCGACCTCGCCACGTAGTCCCAGCTGAAAGTCATGAGCAGCGATCCCTGACGACATAACTCCAAACTTACCTCGGTTTTCCAACCCCACGCACTTCGGCCGCTAACTTCTCTTGACGTTCCTTTTCGGCCTCCTGTGAATTTCAAATGAGACGAAGTAACAAGAACAGTCAATGAAAGTTTACCTGGGGCGTTTTACGCGTTCTCGAAGGGCGTCTTGTCGCCATTGAATCACCCGCATCCTCTGGAACAAGCTGAACCTCCGCCTTGCGCTTCCTCCCACTCTTCTTCTCTTCCTGGCCACCCTCCTTCTCGCGGTTCTCCTGCTTCTTGCGCTCGGCCTCGCGCTTGAGACGCTCCGCCTCCTCCCGCTGCAAACGCGCCGCCGCCGCCGCCGCCTCCTCCTCCTGCTGCAAACGTGCCACCTCCTCCTTCTGCTGCTGCTGCTTCTTACGCTCGGTCTCGCGCTTGAGACGCTCCACCTCCTCCCGCTCCACACGCCCTGCTCCAACGGTAAGCCCTACGCACACTGATGCAAGGAGAAGAGAAGGGAAAGGGAACGCACCACTCGAGCTGCACGTTTCCGTTCGTGTCCAGCCACCCCATCAACATGGTCGCCATGAAAGGG